GCAGCAGCTGGCCGAAGCGCCACGAGAAGATGAATCATAACATTTCTGTTAAACTTCATCTCTCTCAAATTTTTTGAACCGTTTTCTCCTCTGTAAATATATATATGAAACGGTTTCAACACGTTACCATTGTCAGAAATACATACATTAATTTTTTTCTTTTTTCGGTCACTGAAGCGGATTTGAAAGCGAATGTGAAACCAGAGGGACGGGAGGTGGACGCCCTGCATGCAGAGACACCTGCTGAACACACACACACACACACACACACACAGGCTGTCAGTGTGTATGACAGCTGATCTCCTGAGGGTTGACGGCTAGCTGCTGGTGGTGGTGGTGGTGGTGGATTTGGGGGTGTACTGGTGGTTCAAGTTTTCCTCCAGGGAGCAGGAAGTGTCTGTAGTCTGACAGTAAGCCTCAAACCAAAAAGCTTAGGACCATCTCTATGCATGCGGACATACACACACACATATATACTGTGTATTTTGTATATGTACTGTGTGGACACATACATTACCATGGTTAAAAATGCAATACTGTAACTGTAAGAATGTTTTTAAACTAAGAAGTAGTGATCTGCGGATCAAAGTATCGATGTTTCCTGCTCTAGGATTGGGACTCATTTAAAAGGATCAATATCTAAACAGTCATTTGGAGTGAGTGTGTGTTTTATCAGAAGTATCTTACTGTCACCAGGATCGTCTAATTATACTCAGTTGATAGGAACTACTTCTCCTTCCGCCTGTCAAAGTCATGCTTGTGCCGGAGTTTCTCTGAAGCGAGCCGCTGCAGCCCTTTACATTTCCCGCGACTGAATACTGACTCTGGCCAAATGTGAAAGCCGTCCCGTCTGGCTGTATTTTAGCTGTGAAGGTAATAATGACGCTGTGTGTGATGTGTGTGCAAAGACAGTGAAATACTTTAGCAACACCGCAAACATCGATAAGCAAGTCACAATAATATGATGATGTCATGAAGCTGCAGTTCTGAGCAGGAGATTTTAATTATAATTAAAGAATATGACAGTAGTTTGATGTCTTGTCATTATGCAGTTATTATTTTGAATTGGTAAGGCCACAGCCTGCTCCTTATTTCTCTCATAAATACAGAAACGGGAGGTCACATTAAACTAGAAATAAAAAGTATCGGTATCGGCAGTACCAGCCTGGGTATTACTTGGAATTGGATCGTATAGGGTTTAAGTGGTATCGCACATCACTACTAAGAAGATGAACCAGTTCATGCTGACAAATCTAGGTAACAATAAGACATTGGCTGATGGGATCTGATTACTTAAAGGGGAGGGTTACTAACTCTTGTTGAGGCTGTTGACTTGACTAAAGCACAATTTGTTGCACGTGCTGTATAAATACACGACATGGCTGAAAAGTACTCGTACTCCTCGTCTACAGGCTCTTACGGCATAAAACACGTTCTGTCTGATCCGGGCCTTATGCTGTCTTTTCATCACGTACCAGGAAACTAAACAAGCGTTCACTTTTGGCCTCAGGTGAGGATGCCATCTATGGTCGTTCAGACTTGGCCTCGGGTGGCTCCAACGACCACAACAACTGTCGTTACAACATCCAGGAGCACTAACGAACCAGCGGTATCGATCATTCAGACAACGATAGCCGAGTTTCCCTACCAGTCAGTCGGAAGCGAAAAAGTCTCTTGAATGAGGGACGAAACGAGTATCTTCACCAAGTCCAGTTGCCTTTGATTTTAACCTTTCTTGGATAACTATGAGCTGGATGAGTGAGAACCTTCACTGACATCCATAAAGAAATGCCTTTTCCACTTTGGTGTGGATGACCTTGACTGACCTCAACCCCGTCCACTGTGAGCTGGAGGCTGTTTCAGCGGCACATTAATGCCCAAGTTCAGCTCACAATGGGTGAAATGGCCGGGCTGTCCACATACTTTTGGCCATATAGTGTATCTCATTGTTGCTATTTTTCTTATGGTGGTTGGCGCACACACACAAGCAGTCTTGTGTTTGCTGTGAGGTAAAGCCTACAGCAACGCCCGAGGTCACCAGAGTTCATCAAGGGTCACCAGAAGTTGCTTTTCTTCTTCTGGGGTTAATTGGTGCCAAAGAGTTGAGGTTAAACTAACGCCTCATGACTCTGACCTCTCTCCTCTGTCTTTACCTTAGACAGCATAACACACCGGCCACCTGGGAGTCCTCCGGTCGGCGGACGGGCATCATGGAGCAGGAAAAAAAATGACTTGTTACGGTGAAACTGTGAAGCGTGGCAAGGAGAAAAGGAAGGAGGCGAGTCGATGTGGACCTCCATGTTGGGCCTGTTAATAATCAATCAGAGCTCTGAGCGCCAGCGTTAAATCACCAGAGGAAGACGGGGAGCCTGGAGGAACGCGGCGGCACCCATGAACTCTAAATCTCTGTCACTGGGAAGGGCTGAACGTCGGTTGAATGATGGTTGATTTATCTGCGGGGGAATACAGTGACTGTGTGTGTGGTTCCTGAACAGGCAGGTACGTCGACAGTAAATCAAATCACCTCCAGAGACCGGAGGAATTGTGTTTTGAATCGCGTTAACATCCACACATAAAAAAACAAACGCATGTACAATAAAAACCAATTAGACGGCAGAGCTGAGATGGAGTGGCGACAACTTAAAAATAAACAACACAAAAGCAGGGGAATGAAGCGGTCCGATGCGCTCAGTGAAGGCAATTGTTTGCTTTACAAAACGACATAGTTTGACCCCTCTGCGACCCCGTTTTGCTGCCTGTTTTGACTTCGAAGGCGTTGCAGCCCGGCGGCGCTTTGATGCTCCCTCTGTGATTCTGTTCACATCACACACGCTGCAAAAAAATAACGACAAGTCATTTAGTCTCACATTCAGCCGGTGAGACTTTTCTGCCAGCAGAGGTGAGATAATCCCACGTGTTCCCACAGCAGCTTTCTTTGGCTCGGGAAGTTTCCAGAATTTAATAAATTAAAATGAGATAAAATAAGGCAGATTTCTCCACTCCTTATGGGTAAGCTTGATTTCTAAATTCTGTAAATAGCAAATACTAACTTTAGATCAAACACGTGTGGTTCTCCATGTAGCAGAGGGCTTGAGACGCTGAGGACTCCCATCCTATCTCTGTGGATGTAAGAAATATTCAAAGAGTCTGAGGTGGATCCTTTGGTTCAGGTGCAAGACAGCAGTGCGTAATGCAAAAGACAACAAGAGCAGCGCTTGAATCATCATATAGATTTAAAAATCCTCTCCTGTTTTACATTTTCATGGATTTTATTTACAGCTGATGGGCCGACAAATCTGCTTATGTGCTTTCGTCTTCAGATCAAAATCTTAAATGATCAAGACTCAAGGTGAATTTTCATCCCCCTGCTCTGATGAGCAGATTTTGCAAAAACAGGATCTCTATTCCCAGTGGTAAACCCATAAGCACAGAGCGAACATTTCTTACATAATGAGCACACTATATGTTGCCCGCTGCACATGTGACTAAGTGCCTCTTTCCCCGGCCCAAGAAACTTACACATATTAGATACTTGTGATTTAAATATGATCGATGAAAAGTTTACAGTTGGAGGCGTGTAGCTTTAGAGACACCCCTTTTATAATGATGGTCGATGGGGAAGATGCTGCTGTCAAAGACTCCAACATAATCATATTAAAACATAAAAACACGTATAGCTGCCACATTCCTATTTCATTGTTGAGTATATTTTGTTATGTCACCATATGTTATATTATTTGAATTCCTGTACTGAGTGATTTACATTTTATGTATGTGTGCTATCGGTAGTGTCCTCAAACAATCCGTTCAGGTCTCATCAAGACAGACGTCACGATAATTTTATGACGTAAGCTGGCGCTAAGATTTAGTCTTGTGAGCTTGCACTGCTGTTTCTTTGTTTTATCATGTCTATTTTGTATATGGGACAATGGATTAGTAATCTGCAAGTGCGCATGAGTTGATTTAAGGTTAAGTTTCACCATCGGGTTCAGACCCTAAGGCTGAAGTAAAATATCCACTCATCCGTTCTTTTACTGACTTTTATCACTGGTGAAATAATCTCCCTCCACAGGCTGATTTCTTGCTTTGTTTCAAGACTTCAGGACTCAGTAAGAGACTAAATGACTTGTTAGGGAGATTTTCTGCAGCGCACGCTCACTGTGCCTTCCCTTTCATCCATCCAGTCTCAGCTGGTGCGCATCACGACAGGTGAAATCCCACATTACCCTCAGCAGCCGTGAACACCAGGCTCAGAATGAATGAACTTGCAAACCAGCTCGCTTTTTACTGGCGCAAATTATCGCCAGTAATGTGCAGAGCCTCGGGTTGTAATTAGAGTTTTTCTGCTGCGCTGTGTGGAGTGGGTGTTAGTGGACTGAAAGCCTATACAGGTGTCATTAATCCTGCATTCCTGTGCGACTGCAGCACCGCAGGAAGCGGCGCCCACCTCCCCTGCCGCTGCACATAGCTAACAGGTTTAATAAATACTTCTGCTAAATGCCAAACAGCTCGGCCTCACACTGAGGAGGTAAAGAGGTGGGAACTAACGAGAGGCGACGCTGACCAGAGAGCTCTTCCTTCAAGCTCAGAAACACAGCGGGGAAATATTCACCACAGTTACCACGACCCACCACTGCTGCGACGTTCTCTGTGTGCGTTTCAGAAACCACAACAGACGTTTTAATCAACATGCGCTTTGTGGATTAAGCTTTAGATTTTCATTAATCCTGACTGATATAATGTTCATTAGTTGTTTTTTTTAAATGAGCTGGTGTATGATCCTTGCTGGAACGCTGATTAAGAATTGTGATGTTGATCTGTGTGTTGGACACTTTAATTTTAAAATAGCTCCACAGCGACTGGCCAGACAGATATCCAACTGGTTGTGGACATTCCTGCTCCCCAGAGGACAAAGCAATCTGGTTTCAATGACTTTTCCTCTAGCCACATTCAAGACAAACTATTTTTATCTTGTATGGTGTAAGGATCAAAGAAATGGATCAATAAATCTGTAATTTATTTTTCTGATTCATCGGTTAATCATGTAACCTTTTGGAATGTTTTCCTAGAGACTAAGGTGGTGATTTCAAATGTTTTGTTGGACCAACAGAGTCCAAAAACAAAAAGATATTAAGTTTACAACGATATAGAACACTTATAAACCAACTTTCACACTGGTTTATCAAAATTGCTGCTCATTCAGTGCTGGGGTAGCTAGAAGGACTTTACATTCTTAGATTTCCCACATGTTTGGGTTTGAATTGTTCGTTTTTAAGTTAAGTCATTCTTCTGCACAAACAAAATGTGTGTATTTTCATGTGACTTTTTTGGATTGAAAAGATTTAACTGTCTGATACATACATGTTAAGTTTTCATGTTATGGTATACTACTGACAAGAGCATTAATAATATAAATCGGTGATAATCAGCTTCGGCCGATCCACTGATTGAAGCACTTTCTTTGTATCGGTGCCCCTCTGAGGATTTTGTCCCCTCATGAACCCAAATTTAACTGTTGTAAAGTTGCAGAGGAGAGAAACAATAATAAAAAGTCTTGTGTTTTTAAGTCGGCACTGTCTGTGATGCTCCTGCAGTGTGACGGCGAACACCGCGGCGTCGTTTCTCTGTACATGCGAAGGTTTTCAGTCCATCAATCCGAAGTTACATGAAGATCTGCAGACAGCACGACAGCCACGGATCCACACCTACACAGCAGTTTCCTCTGTCACAGTTTGTAGTATTTACAGCTCTGTACACTGAAAAAAAAACAGCAAAAAAATTAATAGACCTGAAAAAGTTCTCAACAACAACGAGTCCGGGGATTGAAAAACAGCCGTGTTTCTGCGAAATGTCTTACATTAACGACAAGCTGTTTGTGATTAAAACGAGCCCAGTTGATTTGATGCAACTCGGCTCAAAGATGTATTTCCCGGAGTCAACGGAGAAAAATGTGAAAGAAAAACAAAACCAACCAATCCAAAAGAAATTCAGGATAGATAGCAATACACAGTATACTTAAGTAGGATTTACAAGAAGTTCTTTCCCTTCTCCCCCCGAAGGTGTTTTTTCTTTTTCCGTTCCAACACAGCAACGTAGCCTAAAGCAACACACAAAAATCCAACTCAAATACGTGAGTAGCTAAATAGTTTCCCATTAAATTATCACAACGATGTGGTGTAGTTTACATTCCTTCCGCAGCAGCAGGAGCCGCGTGTTTTCTTCAATTGATTTTAATTCATTCTATTTTACATTTGATTGGTTTCTACAGGGGACGGGGTTGGGGGGGTGGGGGGGTGGCGGCGGGCGAGGTGGACGAGGATCTAAAGCCTTGTACGGTGGATACAGTTATAAAAAGGAAGAAGGGGGAGTCGGTGCTGCGGCACAGCGAGTAATAGGCACAGGGGGCTGCAGTGAGGGGGCGGGACAGGAGGTGGCGAGTAGCGACGGGGAGATGAGGAGGAGCGTAGGGAAGGGGTTGGGGGTTTTAAGGTGGAGAGCTGCGCCCTCACAGGTAGATCTCCCTCTTGGAGGTCTGGCCGGTCGGAGTGGTGGCCGAGTGGTACTCCACCGCCTGGCTCAGCGGGATCTCCTCCAGCCCACAGTCTTTGCCAGACGAGTCTCCGCCCCCAGGGTAGGCACTGCTGTAAGGCGTCATGAACCGCATGTTGGCCACTTTGGAACTGCTGCCGCCGCCACTGCCCGTCCCGCGCTCCTCCATTGTCAGGGGCTTGGGGCTGCCGTTGGCCATCAGCTGCTCTTGCCCGTCTATCTCCTGGTAAGGCACAAAGGTGGAGAGCTTGGGGGCGTTCTTGGGCACCTTGCGGTTGGGGGAAGGCTCGCCGGGCATCCAGCAGGAGTCGGAGTGGCCAAACTCGGTGCACTCGTGTGTGCAGTTACCGGTCATCGCCACGTCGGGAAGAGGCCTGAGGTCTGCAAAGAGAAAGAGGAAAAAGAGAAAGAAAGCATGAGTAACCTGGACACAACAGCAGAGGATAAAAGGGTCAGAGATGGAGATGAAACTGAAGGAGAAGAACTACAAACCTGTTGTTGTGGCTAACATGTAGGCATGTCAGCTTCCTAATCATCCAATTGGACTTGTGCTTATGTCCATATCTACTCGCTTTTTCTGCTCTGGTTTGATGTCCAACACATGAGAAAATTATCACGCTCTTTAGCTGCTAAATGCTCCAACAACTTCACCAGTTGCTAACTGAATTCCCACCAAAATTCTCCACATGTGAACGTTACTGAACTTGGACCAGACTGGACAGACTGATGCTACACAATGTTTTGGGATGTACTGGTGATTTGGAAGCAGTTGGTTTAATGAAATGGGTGGAGAAAGGACAGATGGTTTATGGGAGTGAATTTCTCTTTATGTTAATTCCCAACTGTAAATCATTTCTGCACTACCTTTCTTTCTGTTTGTACCTTATTGTGATGGACCATAGTTTCTAGTTAGTTTGTATTTCAGTAATTTTTGAAGTATGTAAATACCTGCTGCCCAGAAGTTAAGTGTCTACAAGTGCTTCTGTTTTTTATTTGATCTAATTGCTCCTCTTTCTTGTCTATTTTATTGATATTTATGATGTTTCTTTGTTGTGTTGTCTGGTGAATGGATGCTTGTATGTGCTCTGTGCTTTGGTTTAAAGCCTGGTTTAAAGGCTGCAGTGCAATTTCCTTTGAGATAATACAGTTAAGAGTTAAAGTTGACCATAAATAGAACTGTATTTGACAGAGGACAGATAAAGGTTTCCAGTCACAAACAGGAACAGATCTCTTAGTAAATGTTGCTTTTAAAAACCAACAAACCTGAGAGCGCAGTGCCACAGTTCAGCTGCATACAGGCTGGCAGGAGCTGGAGATGCTGATTAAAACTGTCATTATCCCTTCATCCACACACACACACACACCTCTCTCCATTTTAAAGAAATTAATTAAAGCTCAGTGTGTATTTTTAAAGTCACTAATAGTTCACAAAGTGCCAGGAACGACGCTTAATTTGTTGCTGAAAGACGGAAAGCACATATCAAACGACGGATGCTGAGCATGAAACAGGATCAGCTGATTTAAAGAGGAAAAAAAAAACGCTCAGATTCGTTAAAGCGTTAATTATGTTGCACAAACACCCAATTAAGGCAAAAATAACACTGTAGCTGCTTTTCTCTTTACCCAAAAGAAATGACACGATGAAAGATGACAGATACAGAAGATGTCTTCTTTCTTATATTGATGATGTGAATATTAAGGTCATGATTTCTACCCTCTAGATTGTTTTGTTTTATAACGATTACAACTTTAATCCTGAGCCTCTGAGACAGGCATGAGGACAGACAGAAACTGACAGACAGACGGACGCAGGGCTGAGTTAAAAAAAAAAAAATCACAGCTTAGAATGGAAAAAGGTCAGCGATGGAAGCAGAAATATCAATGCGTATGCAGAAAGTAACCTTTCTTTTGTGCGTGACATTAGATCATTCTTTGATACTGGAGGCTGGAGGCGTGCAGGGGGCGGAGGGGCTGCCAGTCCTCCCGGGGAATGGCGCTTATTTCCCAAAATGCTCTCTGCTTCATGCATAATTTAAATTCATTGCCTCCTTTTTGCAAAAAGGAGCTATAGTCGGCTTTTCTGTCTGTTTGCGGGTTGATGTGTACGTTCTAATCCAGGGGAGTGCTGAGTAGCGGCCGCCCCCCCCCACTTCCCCTCTCAACCCCTCTTTCCCCTCCCCACATTCTCACGGCCGCCGCTGCCGTGGATTTTAGTTTTTAAGCACTTCCCATGCAAAAGCAAGGTGCTTGCAAAAATGTTAAGTCATGTGCGAGTGGCTGCTGAGTTCAGAGCGGCTGTTTAATAAGCGCTTTGCCTCTGAACGTCGTGTCAGCAGCAGGCTTATAGAGCACGGGCGCCCTCGGAGCTGCACAGCTGAACAAACTCTAAACTTGACTCACTTCAATAGCAACAATAGGAAAAGGACTCCAAGCTCAGCTGGACTGCAGCCTGTAGGGAAGCTTTGTTAAACGACAACCGTGACCTCTGACTTCGTCAATAAATGCTATTGGAACCTCTTTTCATCTCATCTGATTTCTACAAAATACGTCTCCAGCAGCTAGTTTCAGCTGAACCTTGAGTTGCGAGCAGCCCGTCCCTGAGGCCGGAAAAAGCTGCAGGCTTACCGTGAGACAACTGGTTTGTGAAAATTTAATTAAAAAGTAGTTTGGTTATATGCACCAGTAAAGCACAATGTCAACTGACAGGATGAGGGCATTGAGGCAAGACCTGTTTACTCCCTGATCTGATGCCATGATTTAAAGATGCTCCCTGTGTCAAAATCTAGTTTCAAGACCTTCACTTTTTCCAGAGCTAATTGCATTTTCCAACCTCAATCAGAAAAAAAAACTGGCTCATTCTGAGAGAAACGCATTTCCAAAAGGGCTTTAGGATCCAACCCGTCTCACTTTGTATTTTCAGTCCTCTTTGTGCTCATCCTCCTGAGTTCAGCTACAGACGCTCCTCCTGGAAGACTCACCACTCTGTCTGTTTATGTTTTGTCACCGCGAGCTCTCTGACACTTGTCAGAGTGGAGCGTCTTTCTCAGGGGAGCCATCTTTGAACAGGTGATGTTTAAGAGTATAAGAGGAGATAAACAGGAAGCTCGCCTTCTGTTCAGTCACTCTGTTAGTGGCATGATGTGATCAAATTGTTGCTTCAGTATACAACCTGTCGACTGCACGTCCTCATCTCAAATGAAAGCACGCAAGTCATGCTGCACATGTGTCGTATACTCATGCTAAGAATAATACAAACAAGATAAACAATGGAGATAATGCACGCAGTCTTTTCCCACTTTTTACAAGTTGTTAGTTATAATTGCATGTTAATGTGTAAGTATGAGCATGTATGTAGATTATGACAAGACTATAGAACAAAAGTCAAGTCACACTCACCAACCTGATACTATTTTTAACAGAAAAAAAAACAGTTTCAGTCTCTAATCAACTCCAATTTCTTCATCTTTTGCCATTTTTTTCCCCGATTAAGTCAGCTAAACGCATCTGTTCCTGCTAAAGTGCGCACAGGTCTTTCACGTTACCAGCCTTCCACAGGCGCAAAGGGAATTATCACTCCCATTCCTGGCACATTATTAACGTGCAACATCCGCAGGTAGCTTTCGTCAACGACAACACTGGGGGGAAAAAAAGAAACAATGCCCTTTGAGACACTAAAGGCTTCTAATGTGAAACATTCTCTACGTGCACACTACAGGGAAGTGTGGTCTCATTAACAGTTTTACAGAGATCTAAATTGGCAGTATGAGTTATGGCACAACAGAATTAGTGCTGTGGAATCGAACATTTTAATGTAATTTGTCAAGGGGGAGGGGGAAACATGGAGAAGGTGTTCATCATCATGAGTAAATAAAAACAAACAGAAAGTAGAGACACGTCTGATAAACTTTACTTATAACAACAAGTAAAAATCCTGTTTCTGATTTGCTCTGCAGTTCAGGTAAATGAAAGCCATGGTCGTTATTCAAGAATTATAGTATACAGTATATTATATATATATACATGCATGTTATGCGTTTTTATATATGTTTGTGTAGGTTATTATGTAGGTACTGTCCCACTGCAAAAAGTCCTTAATATGCACTCGACACATGACTCAATATACAACAATAACTGATTAAAAAAACAAAACAAACAGAGCGCGGGGGCCAATCAGAGTGTGACCCCGCGTTCAGGCCCTCAGCACAGCGATCTGTAGCTCTAATCACAGGATTTAGCGCCGGGCCGATGGGGGTCGTGTTCGTCCTAATTAAGCACAAGAACTAATTGGCTCTAGTTTGAGATGGAGCTAATTGGCGAGCATGATGGGAGGAAGAGTTTTAGCAGTTAGGGTGGGTTGCGTCTAAGATCAATAACGGTTTTGGCTAATAAGGCCTTCCTCTGGCGGTGGACACGAGCGGATTGCAGCTACCCGTCTTCAACGCAGATCATCATCAAAGGAGACACGAAGGCTGATCAGATGCTGATGAAACCTGCTGACGCAACAGTTTCCCTGCTGCAGACTCATTAGTGACTAAAGCACAAACATCACAATCATCTGAGAACTTTGTCACCTGAAGAACCGAATACGGGCTTTGATTTTAAGTTAAAACGTCTTGGGTTTTTTTTGGTATCTTGCTGTGTTTTTTTCACATTTTGTGTATCAACTGGATTGTTTCTTAAAGCCTTAAGATGACAACGCAAGTCTGTACGTTTACATTGCTAAAGCTTTTATCCAAAGTGACTTACAATTGCTATGTATGTCAGAGTTTGCACACCTCTGGAGCAACTAGGGGTGAGGTGTATTACTAGGTGTACACAAAAAAGAATATTTTATAGTAAATGTCCTGAGTACACTCATGCTTCTCTGAGGATTTACACTAATGATTGGATCCAATGAGAGCCTCCCTCAGGACAAACTTCACATTAGAAATGCGACAAGAGGACAGTTTCATGAGCTGCTTGATACAGTACTTCATCAGTGGAAGAAGTAATGCTGGTATTATTTATCCCACATCACATTCTTCTCTTATCTTGTATGCTGTTTTACGTTTTTTCACTGTTTGGCCACTTGTTGTTTCTCCATGTCTGCCTGGTGAAAGAAACTATGTTTGTTGTAGTGGCCCTTGTTATGTACTTGATGTACTTGACTGGCAGACCCTGAAACTACCTGGAACATGCGTGTAGTATCATCTTCTAAATAGTGCCCAAAAAGTAGTTCATGCAAATCATCCCAAAAGTGGGTAAACAACAAACAAGACCCATGACAATGCAGCCTAGGTGCCAAAGAATTACATCCATATTGGCTATCCTGTTCTACTACCAATGTCAACCTTTGGTGGAGATTGTTCTAGATGGAAGTAAAAACATGATGTTCAGTATCG